ATATATATGTATATATATATATGTATATAAACGATCAGAGAAATGTCGTAGTATGAGGGCCAAAATTAAGACTAGTGCACGACCAGCAGTTGCTACATCCTTGTAGCAGGAGGCTGTATCTATTCCTAAGACAGCCATTGAGCTGATTAATGATAGGCCTCTGTAACTTTTTTTGATTAATGAAAACTTTCTCAACAAAAATGGTTGACATACAAAACCTATAAGCAACACTCACTGACAGGTGTTCTTTAGACAGAATTTACTGTTCAACATGACGTCAAACAAAAATATTAAACATAAAACATATAACTGTGAAGCAGACAGTCACCTGAGTTAGCGGCTACGTTTGCCCTTGTCTATTGGTCGATGGTGGTGTTTTTCTCTTTTTAGGCAAATTATGAGAAAAGCCAGAACTATCAAGTTGGGGCATTTTAGAGAAAGTTTAGTTTATAGAGAAAGTTTTCTTTATTTTAAAGAGTTTGTGTCTAATAAAGTAGGTGAGCAGCCTAGACATGCTAGTCGCTAGCCTCTCCAATGCTAACGCAAATGAATAGTCTTCTTATTTGCCAGTGCCGGCCTATCAATAATCAGATCAATTGCTGGCTTAGGAGTAGATTTAGCCTCCTGCTACAAGGATATAGCAACTGCTGGTTGTGCAATAGTCTTAATTTTGGCCATCATACCACAAAAATTATGTTTTAACTATTCAACAAATCTATTTCACCCTTCTTTTGTTCCACCATTTCTTCCTTTAGATCTTCTGGTGTCCATTAAGAAACATTTTTGTTCCTGTGTTTCTTAACTGCTGGTTAGCCAAAGGTGCTCTGGAGAACATGATTGTAAGTATATTTTTAAATTCTTCATTTATTATGCTGAATATACTGAAACTGTAATCTGTGACACTAAATCAAACGTGTTTACATTAATTTAAAAAGAACATCTGTTGTTACAGACACTTTAACTTAATCGTTTGTTTCATTGTTCCATTGAATTTATTGTAATAATAAAGTTGCAACAGTAAAATGTTTCTTTTTAGCAAAGATTAAATCATTTGAGGTCCTGTTTTTTCTTCACTTTTTCTGCAAGCATTAAAAACTCTTCTGTGTTTGCAATATTCATTTCAAAACTGCAGACAGTACCTGTGTCTTTTTCTCCTGCAGTCATTTTTTTTATGTTTATAAAAATGTAGTTGTGTATTTTGTTGAAAAAGAAGCGGACATTCTTTGAGAAGATGTCATCTAAAAGGCAGCACACGTTTGTCTAAAATGTCAGCGCATTTATTTTCCATTACTGCTGCTGCCACCGTAGTGTAAATGACATTTTCTATGAGCACTGATACAATCGTTAACCTTCTCAGAGTCTGTTTTTTTAGACTTGTTGCTGAAAGCAATCTGTGTGGTGCTGAATGATTCGGACTCGGCGTACAACATTTATTTCTTTAAACAACAACAAAAAAAGTAATGTTTTTATTGATTTGCTTATTGACCATGTTTTTCTGTGATATTGTCCCTTTTAGAAATATAGATATCTCTTTTGAAGAGCATTGCTTTTAAATGATTAAATAATCTTACTGGACAAACTTTTATTTTTGCTACTAAAACCTAACCTTTCAGTTCTACTACTTTTGTGTTAAATCTTGATTACAATCACCTTTTAACATTTCAAACTGAACTTTAAAACTTCTTTAGTTAAATAAATTTAATGAAAACAAAACTTAAAGAAACGAGACAAAACATAAAATATCTAAGGTTCATGCTCTGCATTTCTGCAAATTTGATGCGACTGGACCTGCAGCAGCTGTTAGAAGCTGGTGAATAATGTTGGCTGTCATCATTCTGGACATTAACTCAGTTTAACTGAATAGAATTTAATTAAATTGGCTCATTTCCTTTTGTCTTTTTGTAAACACGTCTGAGTTGTGCTCAAAGCAGTGTGTTGATTTGAAGCAAGTTATTTTGTCTACACTGGTGGGACGTTGTTATAAGTAACACCGGGAGCTTAGATAAGTTGCCTTCTGTCTAATTAGTTGGCTTTTATCATGAGCACCACTGATTTATTCAGACGGACCCAAAGAACTGCCAGATTTTATTTTCTAATTATGTTTGAGCAGTAAGTACAATAAGTAAAATTTTATTTATAGAGCACCTTTTGAAATAAAAATCACAAAGTGCAAATTTAAACAAAAGCAGATTAAATAAATATTTTTAAGTTGGACTTTAAAGGAGGACGCATGGGGTGTCGTTTGTAAAGTTACAGTCAAAAATTACCACCAATATTTTTGTTTTATTTAGCCTTTTATAAGAAAAAAAAGAACAGATTTATTTTTCATAGTCAGTTTTTCACCATATGATTCATACATTTATAAATGTCATTGTTTACAAACTAAAAATTTAACTTACAAATTAAACATTTAGTTAACAAGCTAAATATTTAACTTGTGACTTAAATATTTAATTTTGAGCTAAATTAGCTTGTAACATATTATATTATGTTTTATGTTATATTATATACTATATTACCTAAATATTTAGGTGGCAACTTAAATATTTAGCTTGTTGACTAAATATTTAATTTGTAAGTTAAATATTTMGTTTATAACTGATGACATTTATAAATGTATGAATCATATGGTGAAAAACCGACTTTGAAAAAAAAATCTGTTTTTATTTTTCTTATAAAAGGCTAAATAAAACAAAAAATATTGGTGGTAATTTTTGACTGTGTAACTTTACAAATGGCACCCCATAAGGATGCTGCTGATCTAAGAGAAAGCTCCGACTCTTTTAGTTTTCAGTTTCAGCAGGTCTCGATCACAGGACCTGAAGGCCCTCATGAGAGTGTAAGGATGTAAAAGTAAAAGTCGAAACCAATAAATCGAGCTGCACTCGATAATGAAGTGGGAGCCAGTGAAGTTAGATTAGAAGTGGAGTTACATGATGCGTGTGATGATCAGGATTCAGATGAGGTCATGGTGGAGAGAGAGCTTTAAGCCAAAAGATGTAGTCGGCAGATGGTAGAACCGGGTCCAGCTGGGAAGAGGTGGCAGGCAGGACATGCTAACAAGCTGTGGCTACACTCATTAGCTGCTTCAGATTAACACGTTAACATAGGAGAAACTAAAATAAAAGAATTTGATTCTAATGTAGTAAAATACAGTCCATTCTATACTAATGTACGAGATAAAATATGTAGAGATAAAATAATCCAACCCAACTTTTTGATACTTATTTTACACAAGATTTTTCACCTCAGAACTAAATTAAAACACGTGAAAAAAAACCACAAATTTGACTTTTAAAAATGTTTTCATTAGAAATCCAGAACGAAGGGCTTCAATTCTCAGAGTTAGATCTGTCCTGAAAGCTTTTCCTCTGTCGCCAGAATGATTTCCATCGTGCCATCCAGAGGACCCACTCTGCCATGTTCAACCAAGTGTTCATCCTCATCTGCACCTTACTGTGTCTGGTTTTCACCGGGTGAGTCAACGTCTGCTGGTCAAACAGGAAGCTGTGTCCTGCTGCTTTCTGCAGCTGTGAGGACGTATACACTAGGGGTGTAAGAAAATATCGATACACAGAAATATCGCAATATTTCATTTCCCGATACTGTATCAAAATTCTAAAGCCCTGTATCGATTTTTGTTAAGGTTTAAAATGTCAACTTTCCTGCCAGCCGTTCATTTTTATGTTGTAGTTCCGCCTCTGACCACTAGTTGGCAGCAGTGAGCCAGTCTCACTGGTGCCAACCAGTGGTCAGAGGCTGAACTACAACATAAAAATGAACGGCTAGGTGGCAGTGAGCCAGCCATTTGGCTACTCAACCTCTTGAGGTAGAGGCTATTGTTAAGTATTGGGTGACCATATTGTAAATTGATATTAAAAACTAAAAGCTGCAAAAAAATATTTTCAAACTATTTATTCGCAAATTTAGTCTAATAATAGAAAACATGGATGAAATAAGAAAAATTAAACAAATAAAATAAAATACATACAAAGCAGAACACAGCTAAATGTATCAAAAGCATGTCTATGTAATATTAGAATTTTCTGAGACAATGAATTTTGGTTTTTCATTTTTTTCCTATTAAGGTTTTTATTTAATAGAATTTTTGGACAAAATAATCACAATATATCGCAATATATCGCCTTGCTTACAGTATCACAATATATCGGGATATATCGTATCATGAACCTTCTGTCATGATATGTATCGTATCGCCAAATTCTTGCCGATACACAGCCCTAGTATACACTGTGTCTCAGTTCATGGGATGCATCCTCATGAGTACGTGGCCACGTCCTTCCCAGTCCAGGTAGGCTGCATGAAACTGCTGTGAAATGAGACCGTCGACCCTTCACTTGACGTCGGCTTGGCGCGTGTTTGCGTGACCACACACTACCCCGTTTTCATGGTGATCGATTTCATATCAGACTCACAACACGTTGGGACATATATTTACGCGTCTTTTCCCTGGAAGAATAACTTCACAGTTAAAACGTTACACGTAAATAAAAAGAAAAGAATCATAATAATAATTTGGGTTTAGCTCCAGTAATCAGTATTTGTAGTTGTATTTTATTAATCTTATTGCAGCATAAATTTCATCAGCTAAGTTGATAAACTTACATCTAAAAACAAATTCTTCAGTCTGTGATGAATTTCCAAACTACGCCGACTTGGTAAAAAAATAAAAACTCCATCGTCTTCATTTCTCTGTTTAGTTTGCTGTCGGCGCGTTGAATCCTGGGATATCCTCGGGTGGTGAGGATGCTCTGATGCATCCTTGATTTTTCAGATTTTGTGAAGGAGCCTTTGAATTGGGCAGTATGCAGCCGACAAATGGGCACTCGTGAGGATGCAGCCCCTGAATAGAGACAGCCATAGTTGACTTTGGGCATTTTATTTGTTTCATCCTGTTTATTTTCAACTCTCATGTGGCTGAATTTATCTGTCAGGAATAATTTAGTCTAATCTATTTGCCATTTTGAATTAGATTGATTTTGCTCTCGACTCAGTTTTAATTCTTTTTTGTGTTGTTTTTCCTCCCGCAGGCAGAAATATTCAGCTGTGTTTCAGGCTATAACAGGCTAAATGATGTTATGTCAGATAGATTTTTACTGTAGATTCATCACTGAAAATGACTTTTTAAAAGTTTTCTGTCTTCATCAATCAGAAAAATATAGTATGGCTTGGGTGACTTTGGTTTGATGGACAAAGACTGTCTCATTTTTTAATTTATTATTGATTTTTAGACTAGAATAGAAGCAGCCTTTATTGTCCTGCGGAGGGGAAATTCTTTTATTATTGATTTTTGCATTTATTTATTGACATCAAAGGTGCTTCCTTTTAGGCCATGGCGCTGTGGTAGACTTCCTGAACCATAATCAGCACTCATCATTCCCCTTGTCTTTTCACATGGTCTCATTTAACAGCTTCCTTTTCTTGTGCCTTTAAGTTTCATTAAACCTTCGATCCATGTCAGAAATAAATAAATAAACTAGCTGGCACAATCACTGAGAGAGAACGGATGGAGCAATCAATGCTGTCACTTAAAATGAAAGTCTGAGGAGAAGCCTGCACTGTATTGATTTTGTTTTGTTGTGATCTTAGTTCAAATTGAATTCTGATATTCACTCCGGACCTGTCTGAATTGTAATTCTGAAGCACCTTGCTTCAGTAAGATAAGTGTTGTGTATTGACTGTTTACCTTAAGGACACTGGTCTGATGTAAATAAATCTTTTTTCTGCAGAGCTTGTGGGATTCAGCATCTAGAGAGAGCCGGGAGTAACTTGTCCTTGTTTGACTCGTTTTATTTCTGCATCGTCACTTTCTCCACCGTGGGCTACGGTGACGTCACCCCTAAGATCTGGCCCTCCCAGCTCCTGGTGGTCATTCTCATCTGCGTTGCTCTCGTAGTCCTCCCTCTGCAGGTACATGACGGCTCAAACCAGAAGGTCTTTGATGTTAGATAATACCATGAGATTTTCCTGCAGCCGATGAGAACTGACTGGTTTAAAATACAACAAGGTGATTGCCTCTCGAAGAGTTTGAACTGCAGGAGTTCATGAATCTAATTCAAAAATTTGACTCAAACGTTTAACTTCAGATATCCTGATTCTATCACTGCGAGTGAATCAGAAATAAAATCCTGCTTCTTGCAACTGATTTTGATTTATTATCACACCCTTTGTGTCTCAAGATCAAATCTGTCTTGACACATTTGTTTAATTTTTATCTTTTTTTTTATTTCACCCGTTAGTTTGAAGAGCTAGCGTACCTGTGGATGGAGAGCCAGAAGCTGGGAGGGAACTACAGCCGCCACCGGGCTCAGACTGAGAAACACGTGGTGTTGTGCGTCAGCTCGCTCAAGATCGACCTGCTGATGGACTTCCTCAACGAGTTCTACGCTCATCCGAGACTGCAGGTGCCGGGGATGTTCAAATGTTAAACAGGATGTTTTTTTTTTTTTTTAACTCTTTAGAAATAAAAGCTCGTATGAAGCCGAAGTGACAAACGTTAAATCCATCTGCCACGTTTGTTTTCCCGCAGGACTATTATGTGGTGATCCTGTGTCCAACAGAAATAGACATTCAGGTTCGTCGTATCCTCCAGATCCCACTGTGGTCTCAGAGGGTCATCTACCTGCAGGGGTCCGCCCTCAAAGACCAGGACCTGATGAGAGCCAAGTGAGAAAAAGCATGGCTTGGCTTCTCACATGTAGACACAAATACCGTATTTATTCAAGTATAATACGTAAAATTAAGTCCATAAAATCATCCATAAAGTTGGGGGGTAGTACAGTACTCGGATAAATATTTTTACTTATGTATTTTAACTGAAATATTGGCAATATGCCTGAGTCCGGAAATGAGAGCGTTGTAAAAAGCAGTTGAAACGAGCTTACCTCTGACACTCCTCCGTGCTTCAGAGCGAGATAATAACAGATCCAGGTGACATGATGTGAAAAAAAGAAAAAAGTATTCCTGCACCTTAATAATGATAACAAACTAATGACATTAGCGTGTGACTGGGCCGCTGCTGGAACAACAACAAACACGTTTGTCTGTAATGGCAAAACATTTCCCCACCAGAGGGAGCGCTCGCGAGTAGGAAATAATCTGCTTTTCCCCCACAAGATGGCCCAAATCTCATGTGAAGTCTCTGACTTTTGTGTTGGCGCCTCCTGGTGGACTATGTGTAAAATGCCAGAATTCATATGATGCTGCTACAGCTGATATATATTTGTTGTCAAAATACCTTTTAGTACATATGTTGTTAAAATAAAAGAACAGTCCAATGATCATTTTACTGATATGTATAAAGACTGCAAAGGCTGAAAAATCTTGAAGTCTATATGAAATTGGAGGTAGTTTGAGGATTAAATTTTTTATGCTTTTTAAGCTCAAAAAATGGGGGATCGTATTATACATGAGATCGTATTATACATGAATAAATACGATAAATCAAAATGCACGTTTTATTTTGAAAGGTTTCTGTCTTGTGCATGTTCTGTTCATTTTGTTACATTCAGAGTTGCTCTAAGATACAGTTTTAGGACGTATCAGTTAAAAGTTGCCCTGGTTTTCCCTTGCTGTAATGAGATTTTACTCTAAGCTGAACATAAACTACATACATAAACAGGAGTAGAAATAGTTTTACATCACACAGGGTTTAGTTTGACCTGCATATGCTCACTTATTTTATAATGAAGTTGTTGCCGTAATGTTTAATTCAAATATGTACATTTTTTACTGCTTATGAGGTAAAACTACTTCTCAGTAGCAGCCACGTTCTAATCCAGGACTCCCTTTTTTCTAAAGGTTTGACTTAAAAGGTGCATGATGAAGGATTTTAAGAACTTGTTCCACTCTATTTTCATAAATTTGGGAATTATATTACAAAAACTTTTCTTTCTACAGCTTCTGCAGTTTAACACCTGACTAACAGCAGATTTGATTAGATTTTTTTTACTCAAGTTCAAGGATAGTGAAGTCTGAGAACAATAGTGCTCATCTACATTATACCCCGCATAGATTTGATTTCATTATAAATTTGGCAGAATTTGCCTCCTCGTTGCCTCCCGCCCTGACAACATCCTGGTTTGCCTGTCTTCATTTCCTTTAGGATGGACGATGCCGAGGCGTGCTTCATCCTGAGCAGCAGGAACGAAGTGGACCGAACTGCTGCTGTAAGTTAAAAATAAATTAGTCAAACATGTGAAGATGCTGTTTCTAGTTTTGTTCAGGATTCTGCTTCCTTTCCATTTTTTTCCACATTTTTATTTTATGATTAATTTAATTTTCTGTTTTTATTTATTGTGTGTTATTGTATTTTTATTCTTGTATCATACTGCTTTTTAACATCATGGCCAGGCGACTACAGATGGAAAATAGCCATTTGGCTAATTCTGGCTTTTTTAACCTATGAAATGTCATATGTTTTATTAAATTGCACTGTCCCCTTTTAAATAAATAAATTAATTAAATAAATAAAAATAAAAAATAGGAGATATGTAAATGTCATCATCATGCTGAGACCTGAAACTTGTGTATAATGAAGCTGTTTTACTTCCTGCAGGACCACCAGACCATTCTGAGGGCGTGGGCCGCGAAGGACTTCGCTCCAAACTGCCCGCTCTACGTCCAGATCCTCAAACCGGAAAATAAATTTCACGTAAAGTTTGCCGGTGAGCGTCAACAGATTGAGGAATAGAAAGGTTTTGTTTGTTAGATTCAGAATTATTCTGATGGTTTTGTCTGAACAGATCATGTCGTGTGTGAGGAGGAGTTCAAGTACGCGATGTTGGCTCTGAACTGCGTGTGTCCCGCCACGTCCACTTTAGTGACTCTGCTGGTCCACACCTCCAGAGGACAGTGAGTTCACACAACTACCACCTGTTTGTGGTGGTCACACTTTTACCACCCTAAATTATTAAATCTAGATGACATTTTAAAGTATTTTGTATTTAATTAGCTTAATTTGTGCATCTGTTTTCAGTAAAACCCAGATTTTATTTTTACGTAGTTTTACATCAGATCAGCATGTGGCATTTGAAAAGCTGTATTTTGTTCCCTCTACAAGTTAATTAAATATTCACTAATTAAAAATGCTCAGCTTGAGCTCGGCACAAACAGTGGAAAATTTCAAATCTGACACATCTAACATCCAGCAGGTTTGCTTTTTGAACAGATGAAATAAATAAACACGTAAACTTGCTGATTTAGACAGTTTTGGAGGAGCTGGCTGCTGGACGTTTGTCGTCTGACTCAACGCTAGAGGAGTGTTTTCATGTTTGTTGGACAAACTCTGTAAAACAGAGCGCATCTTCGAAAATGATCCCATATAGATCTTTATAAACATCTCAAACTTTTATTTTCTCTATATTTTTTTAAATTTAATAAATCTTTTCCCGTGTAAAATATTAGTAATGTCAGCGACGACATGCATTCACAGATTTATTTTCCGGTCATTTTTCTAAATGATTTTATGATTAACAGGATGTTAAACTTTTGAAATCTAAATCCGTCTGTCCGTCCGTTTTCTGCCACTTATCTGGGATCTGGTCTCGGGGGCAGCACCCTAAGCAGAGAGACCCAGACTTCCCTCTCCCCAGTCACTTGGACCAGCTCCTCTGGGGGAACTCCAGTGTGTTCCCAGACCAGCTGAGAAACATAGTCCCTCCAGCGTGTCCTGGGTCTTCCTCTGGGCCTTCTTCCAGTGGGACATGCCCGGAACACCTCACCAGGGAGGCATCCAGGAAGCATCCTAACCAGATGAACCACCTCAACTGGCTCCTCTCGACGTGGAGGAGCAGCGGCTCTACTCTGAGTCCCTCCCAGATGTCTGAGCTTCTCACCCTATCTCTAAGGGAGAGCCCAGACACCCTGCGGAGGAAACTCATTTCGGCTGCTTGTATCCACAATCTTGTTCTTTCAGTCACTACCCAAAGCTCATGACAATAGATGAGGGTAGGAACGTAGACCGACCGGTAAACCGAGAGCTTCACCTTCTGGCACAGCTCTCTCTTCACCACAACAGACCGGTAAAGCGCCCTCATCACTGCAGATGCGGCACCAATCCGCCTGTCAATCTCCCGCTCCATTCTTCCCTCATTCCTGAACAAGACCCCAAGATACTTAAATTCCTCCACTTGGGGCAGGACCTCCTCCCCGACCCGGAGGCAGCACGCTACTGGTTTCTGGCTCAAGATCATGGTCTTGGATTTGGAGGCACTGATCCTCATCCCGGCCGCTTCACACTCGGCTGTGAACCGCTCCAGTGAGAGCTGGAGATCACAATCTGATGAAGCCAATAGGACCACATCATCCGCAAAAAGTAGAGATGTGATCCTAAGGTCACCAAAAAGGACCCCCTCAACACCTTGACTTCTAGAAATTCTGTCCATAAAAGTTATGAACAGAACTGGTGACAAAGGACAACCTTGGCAGAGTCCAACTCTCACCGGAAATGAGTCCAACTTACCACTGGCAATGTGGACCAAGCTCTGGCACCGGTCATACAGGGACCTAACAGCCCGTATCAATGGGCCTGGTACCCCATACTCCCGGAGTACCCCCCACAGGAGTCCCTGAGGGACATGGTCAAACGCCTTCTCCAAGTCCACAAAACACATTTAGACTGGTTGGGCAAACTCCCATGCACCCTCCAAGACCCTGCTAAGGGTGTAGAGCTGGCCCGCTGTTCCACGACCAGGACGAAAACCACACTGCTCTTCCTGAATCCAAGATTCGACTATCTGACGGACCCTCCTCTCCAGGACTCCTGAATAGACCTTACCAGGGAGGCTCAGAAGTGTGATTCCCCTATAGTTGGAACACACTCTGCGGTCCCCCTTTTTAAATAGGGGGACCACCATTGCGGTCTGCCAATCCAGGAGAACTGCCCCCGATGTCCACGTGATATTGTAGAGTCGCGTCAACCAATGCAACCCCACAACATCCAGAGCCTTAAGGAACTCCGGGCGTATCTCATCCACCCCCGGTGCCTTGCCACCAAGGAGTTTTTTAACCACCTCAGTGGCCTCAGCACCAGAGATTGGAGAGTCCGACCCAGGGTCCCCACGCTTCCTCATGGGAAAACGTGTCAGTAGGATTGAGGAGGTCTTCGAAGTATTCCGCCCACCGACCCACAACGTCCCAAGTTGAGGTCAGCATTGCACCATCCCCACCATAAATAGTGTTGGTGGTGAACCACTTTCCCCCCGAGATGCCAGATGGTGGACCAGAATCGCCTCGAAGCCGTACGGAAGTCGTTTTCCATGGCCTCTCCGAACTCCTCCCACGCCCAAGTTTTTGCCTCAAATCCTTTTCCAATAAGTATTTTTATTTTTATTTTAAGCCAGTTTTCTAAATTTTTTGGTGTTTATGTGGTACTCTAAAACAAATAGCTGCCTTTGTTGTGGCCCTGTCCTCCTCTCACATATTCATTTAAACAAATTCAACTTCACTTGGTTGTTAGATCAAATATAATTAGTTGTTTTTTTTTTCAGCAAGAAAGGCACTCAGAGTGTTCCTGCCAGGCTGAGTAATGTTCTGTCACTGAACTCTGCTCTGAACATCACGCTGTTTCTCCTCAGGCCATAAATCTGCCAGTGTTTTCTTCGTTCTGCTCAACTTCTCAGCACTAAGCCATTTTTGTTATTATAGAAGCTCACACTTGCTTCTGGCTTTGAATGCAACAGAAATTTTAAATAGACATTTCCGAAGCAGGTGTTTGTTTTGACCAACATATTTTTTTTTCTAAATACAATGATCTCAAAGCTTCTTCTGATGTGTATGAAAGAGGATTAGGGCCGCTGGGGGGGAAAAAAGATTCTGATTTTAATCTGAGAATTCTGAGAATAAAGTCAGAATAATTCTGACTGTTTTCTAAATCTAAGAAAAAAGTTATCTGATTCTCAGATTAAAGTCAGAATTCTGTCTTCTCAGAATTCTGACTTTATTTCAGATTAAAGTCAGAATTTTTTCATCAATGAAACTTACAGCCATAACTGAAATATAAAGGAGATGATCTAAAGAGTTGTTATTTTCTACTAGTTACAGTACAAACAAGAAGTCTGACATATTTTGACTGTTTCAGGGAAGGGCAGCTGTCACCAGAGCAGTGGCAGAAGATGTACGGGCGCTGCTCTGGAAATGAGGTCTACCACATCCGTTTATGTGACAGCAAGTTTTTTGGGGAGTATGACGGAAAGAGCTTCACTTACGCCTCCTTCCACGCCCACAAGAAGTTAGTAAATCCTCTGCTGGTTTAGCCTTTCAAGCTTGAATCTTATGAAAGCAGTCAGTAATGTCCGAGGTGTGTTTTTAAACTCTCCTGCAGGTATGGAGTGTGTCTGATTGGCGTGAAGAGCGAGGACAACAAGAGCATCCTCCTGAACCCCGGGCCGCGCCACATCATGGCCGCTAACGACACCTGCTACTACATCAACATCACCAAGGAGGAAAACTCAGCCTTCATCTTCAAAGAGGAGGAGAAACACAGCAAGGGTCTGCCTGTGACCGGCCTCTACGACGCCCCCTCCAGGCTGCCGGTGCACAGCATCATCGCCAGCATGGGTAAGAGCAGAGGTGAAGGAGCAGGTTAACGTTAGAAATAAACAGAGGGAGGTGACCTCAGCTTCTCCTGGTGTTGGTGGCTGAGATGGTTTGCATGTCAGAACAGAAAATGGATGCTTTAATTCCATGTTGTACATTTTTGAATAGCGGCTGCCTGGATGATGCTTTCGCTGACTAATGCATGATTTTTTTTCCTGATGTGCTTTTTGTTTACTTTGTTGGCTGACATTTTGTAATGTGCTTGTTTTTTTGTTTGTTTGTTTTCGTTTTGTTTTGTATCCGTAAAAGTTGATCAGGCCACTTCATTTGGTAAGTTTATGCAAGATTCATCTTTTCTTTTCTTTCTTTTATTATTTTTTACATTACACAAGTTTCACAGCACACAGTTTCTGTTGTGTTTCACTATGATAAAGTATTAGAGCCACTCAGGTAAAGGTTTGGAGATTAAAATATGAATCCCAACATTAAAGTGCATTTTTTTCTTACAAGTTTTAACACAGAGGACATAAAGCCCACCATGCTCCTAAACTCCACTATATCTATTATTATTATTATTATTATTCTTCTTCTTCTTCTTCTTATTATTATTATTATTATTATTATTATTATTATTATTATTATTATTATTATTATTATTGTTATTATTATTATTGTTATTGTATTTCAGGATTATGGGTGCACTTTTACTACAAAAAGCATGCAATACTTGCAAACCCTCTTTCAGTCCTTCACAATAAGAGTTTTATTATGAAAGACTGAAACAGGTTCTCTAAGTTCTGCTGCAGGGGGAGCAACAAACTACACCTCAGACTGATTCAACTGAAAAATTACACATTGTTTTATAGTTAACACAGTAAAATTATGCACAATAATACTAACCAGGTAAGTGAATAAATACAACAAATGCAGTTCAGGTGCACCATTGGTTGAAGTCTTGACAACTTTTTTCTCCTCAACATTGCAGTTTTTTCCGTCAATAAAACCTGAACTTGAATCCTGAAATTCACACTTTAATGTCAAAACAAACAAAATACTTTCCTCCTTATTCCTTTTTTCCTGAGTTTCTCTAATAATTTGTCGTGTTTCACATTTATTGGATGTTTTTTTAACATGTTGAATATTAACAGGAAATATGTACGTATATGTTGGGTCATGTATTTGTTCTACCTAATAGATGCATTGTAGTGTTATTGTGCATCATATGTAGTATGATGTACAGTAAAATGTATTTATTGGTGGATACATTATGACCGTTTGCATGCTGTTCATTGAGCTCTTTCTGGAAAGCGATACATTTTCTCCTCAGGATGAAGTATGTGTGTCAGAATTAATGAATTTAAATAATAAACAAGTTAAAAGTGAACAGCCCCACTAAGGTAGAAATAGTCACTGACTCTCATTGTAGTATTTATATGCAAATGACCCTCCAATTATTATGCAATTTGAAATATATTCAGAAGCACCACGGCTGCTTCGCTGCTGATAAAATGGACTCGTGTCACTTTCAGGCACCGTAGCTATAGACCTGCAGCACTCCGACCCTCCTGAGGAAAGTGGAAAACTGACCTTACCCACGGAGAACGGCGCCGGGAGCCGCAGGCCGAGCATCGCGCCCGTCCTGGAAATCGCTGACTCCTCCGCCATTTTGCCCTGCGACCTCCTCAGCGACCAATCAGAGGACGAGACCAACCAGTCCGACGAGGAAGGCTCCGTGGGGTCCGAGTAAGTCACACAAACGTGTTTAAAATGCATGAAAAGGAAAGTTTTTGTAGATTGAGAGATGGATGGGTTTGGAATAAGTGTGTAATCAGTGTGTCATCAGGTGCAAACAGGCTGTAAGAAGAGATACTGCATTTCCTGTGAAAATGTTAGTGTGCATGCTTAGTGCTAAAAACTTTGGCTGAAAGAAACATAAAAAGCTTGAATTAGCAGAAAGAAACTTCAAGAAAGATAAAAGTAAACATAAGCAGAAAGTAGCAAAATTATATCTGAAATATCAGGAAAAGGAAATTGGTAAATAAGCAGCTGAAACATGCTAAACAAGGCTAATAGTAGCAAAAATTAGCAAAGAAAAACTAACAGTAACAGAGGCAAGTTGAAATTACCACAAAGATGATGGAAGGAGTGTAAAAAAGTCAAATCAGCAGAAAGAAAAGACATTCAAAGAAGTGGCAATTTGCTGTAAAAGAGCAAAAACAGAAAGCAGCTGAAATTAGCAGAATGCAACTGAAAGAAGTAAATAAAACTTAAATTAGTTAAGATACAAAAAAGAGCATAAAGTGAAAATGATCAGAAAAATAGTAAGAAAAAGCAGAAATATAGCTGAAATAGCAGAAAATGGCTAAAATTAGCTGCTAAAGCGTGCAGAAACATGTTGAATGTAGCACACAGACAAGTGTTTGTGATGTACAAAATGTCAAATAAGCTGAAAATAAAGGATAACAGTACAAAAAAGTGACAATATTTTAGCTAAAATGTAACTAAAATGCTTAAATTAACACAAAGAAGCAGAAGCAGCACGTTTGCTGATTTCAGCAGAAAGAAACTAAAATGGCCACCACAATGTCAATTTCTTGAAAAAATAATTTTAGACATTAACAGCTGAACAGTAATTAAAATTGCAGCAAAGAGCTGAAATGATCAGAAAGCAAGTGAAAGAAGCACAACAAATTTTTAGGAGTTTTAGATGAAATGGCAGGAAAAAAAGCTAAAATTAGCACTAGGCATTTAAAAAGAGCCAAACCAGAACAAAATGCATAAAGTAAAGATTTATAATCATTTTTGAAGGATTTTAAGAATATTGAAAACAGCTTCCTTCATTTTCAATGGGGAAAATGTGTCCAAAAATGTAAAACAGCTTAAAAAAAGGGTATAAATAACTGAAATACCAACAGTCATTGCCAGAATGTCCTGAAGGGGCTGAACATTATGATAAATGAATTGCTGAATTAGGACAAAAATTGTGGAAAAAGATAGATGCTGAAAAACATACGGAAGAAAAAAAAATCTCAACAGTGTGAATGCTTGTGAAGCGTTCACTCTATTGATGCCACAACAGGCAGGTTTATGCTCACATATCTCTAAAATCAACACACGGATCTTGAAGGATTTGTAACAAGTTCAGGTGAACTTACTTGTACTGAGGAATCAAGTTCCAGAGGAGACTCAGTTAGACTGACCCTGACATCAGTGAGCTCCTCACTGTTGGACAGAACACGATCCTCTGAGCCTCTGCAGAAACAGAGGCCCAGAGCTGCTGCTCAAGTAGTGTTTTTTTAAGTTATAAAACGTGTTAAAAAGTAACTGGAGAGAACATTGAGTGAATCTCAAGGTCCCACAGCGCCCCCATGTGGTGACAGATCAGCAGCAGCAACAAATCAGATGGAATCTCTTATTGGTAAAATAGAGGGCAATAGATTAGGCTGACTGCAGCTGGTATATTACAAACAAAAGGACATAAATCAAGCTGATGTTTTACTGCAAATTAAAACAAGACAAGAAGAAAACAACAGACTTCCTCCTTTAGGCGGAAGAACAGCAGTAATGTGAGCAAAGCTGCGGCAGAATTTAATGAGCTCAACTCTGTTATAAGAGCAGTGATTCATTAGGATAATTAATATAATACAGTAATTACAAAGGTAAGAAGCAGGGTTTATTGATGTTCATGTCCACGTGTTTACAAACTGTGCATTAAAGTTACAAAGTCAGGTAGACCAGGATTTTAAAATGAATCATAAAAAATCCTGAGCACTAACTTCTACTTTTAATCCCCTCATGCTCAAAGTAAATCTGATATTTGCTTTATGTTTAAGTGTAGTTTTTAACCCAGTTTATCATCACCTTTATGCATCAACGTTTTAGTAAATTTCTCTTTTTTTTCACTGCAGTTTTGTGAAGGGCTACCCTCCAAACTCGCCCTACATTGGCAGCTCCCCAACTCTTTGCCACCTCCTCCCGCAGAAAGCTCCGTTCTGCTGCCTTCGCCTGGACAAGGTGCCGCCGTCGCCGCACACCGACACATCTCTGTGAAATTTGCACACGTGCTTTTTGGATTCTGATCATTTTGAAGCAAAGTTCTGATTTGTCCTTTCACAAGAACAGCATCAAGCCTGGCTGACTTCTGGTTGAACTCTTCTCTGCCCAGGGCTGCACACACAACAGCTTTGAGGACGCTAAAGCGTACGGCTTCAAAAATAAGCTGATTATCGTGTCTGCAGAGACGGCAGGAAATGGCCTCTACAACTTCATAGTCCCTCTGCGAGCTTATTATCGTCCCAGAAAGGAGCTCAACCCCATAGTGCTGCTACTGGACTACCCGTAAGACCCTCCCTGATGCATCCCTGGCTTTACTTTTACACTGAAAATGTTCTAATCACATTAAGAACTAAAGGCTACCCCGCAGAGTGTAAGCCTGAAACATTTACCACAATAAAGACGTGCTAATTTGTAGCTACTTCAGAATGAGTTTAAAAACACAGAGGGCTTTGCTTCTGTGTTTTAATGATGCAGGAGTGGAAAGATGTTTTTTAATGTACTTGCATTCATTATTTAAGTCATTTGAGAGCTTTAAGTCCATAAAATGTTTTATTATGTGCAGATTTTTATTGTGTGGCTGCAGCAGGGTGTTTTTCTTAAACAATAGATAAAAGTTTATAATAGATGCAGCAAAAATACAAATACCAGGCTTACTAAAAATCTAAAATCCGGAATTTGTAAAGAAAGGAACATGTTTTGTTTAAATGTTTCAACATTTACATTGCAGTGGTTCTGCTTCATCTTGTACCTAAACTCTGTTTTAAACAGAAATAAGAAGCCAGGAAATCTCCAGCTAAGTGACACTCAGGAGTTTCCATGGCAGCCATTTTTTTTTCTTCTCAAAACTTCCCATTTCATTGCAGGATTAAATATTGATTTCCCTCTCATTCAAGGAGAAATTCAAACAAATTCCCCCAGCCCTCATCAGCTGCGAGCACGTTTCAGGAAATGACTGAAATCGGTCTCTGGGGTTCTGCAGAAATAATTAGCGTTTGATGTTCCTGTTTCTTGTTTGTTTGTTTTTCTTGCAGACCAGACAACCACTTTTTAGAGGCCATTTGCTGCTTTCCTATGGTTTACTTCATGGCTGGAACCATTGATAAGTCAGTATTAAAAACATTATTAATTTCTCATAAATCAATGAATCCTCAAATTTTACATTTAATGTTTCAAGTTTTCGATCTTCTTCAATCAGCTTCAGCTTTTATAAAGAAATAAACATTTTGAATAAAAGGCTCTAATTAGATAATTAATAAGCATGGAACCAGAATGTCATTTTACAATATAATTGTTTTGTAAATGGACAAAGTAACCATTTCAAGGTGATAAATTTGTATTGAATTTACTGAAATGTGTGAGGAATAACCATACCAGTTAAAAATAGATTCATAAATCAAAACATTCAATTAATGTTGATTGTTTAAGTTAATTTGTGCAGACAAGGCTAGATAAAGTAAATTAGATAATATATATATTTTTTTACTTGACCAGCTTGGACAACCTGCTCCAGTGTGGTATCATCTACGCTGACAACCTGGTGGTTGTGGACAAGGAGAGCACCATGAGTGCTGAGGAAGACTACATGGCAGACGCCAAAACCATCGTCAACGTCCAGACCATGTTCAGGTATAACCGGACCATCATGTTCTGGTTCAAGTGCGGCAGATTCACTAAATAAACCTGTTCGTTTTCATTATTTATTACTTTTTATTCAGATCTATGCATCGTAGATCCTTTTAAAGGGATCCCCGATTTGTTGTAACATTAGACTTTATTTGATAAACATTTATTTAAACTGTAAAATAAAGACTGTAAAAATACTGTAGGATGTTCAGTTTTGATCATTTTTAAACTAAAAGTTTAAAAATATATTACACGGACGGAGCCATTTTATTTACACGCAAAGCATTCTGGGTAAATGATGATGTCAAGTAGGTCATCAGTGCGAGGCTGCTAGCGAGCTATATCCACCCTGAAGGTTAATCTTAGACAATATCTGATGATCGACTCTTTTAAATGAAACCAGAGAGCGTTGACAGAGAGGAGAAGGTAGAAATGACTCAGCCTGGAACTGAAAATATGGATGGAGGACCTCAGTTTAGCTTGTTTGTTGCGATAGCACCGAGCTAATACATATAAGGCAATATAGCGTCGGGGCTAACACTAAAGCTAACAGGCTAAGCTGAGGTTCTTCTTCCATGAAGCAGCTCTGTTGTCCTCCATCCATATTTTCAGTTCCAGGCTGAGTCATTTCTACCTTCTCCTCTCTGTCAACGCTCTCTGGTTTCATTTAAAAGAGTCGATCATCAGAAATTGTCCAAGATTAATCTTCAGGGTGGATATAGCTCGCTAGCAGCCTCGCACCGATGACCTAGTTGACATGATCATTTACCCAGAATGCTTTGCGTGTAAATAAAATGGCTCCGTCCGTGTTAAAATATATTTTAAAAAATTWMMWAAMCTAAACAGCCTACAGTATTTTACAGTCTTTATTTTACAGTTAAAATAAATGTTTATTAAATAAAGTCTAATGTTACAACTAATCAGGCATCTCTTCAAAGACAAACTTCAGTAACAAAAGTTGGGAAAGTTATCCTTTCTGCAGCAAACAGAATTAAAAACATTCGTCACACTGAGTCTTCTTCCTGGCACGAAACATTTAATCTCTCCACAAAACATTCCTGTCTCATTTCCTCCTCCTCCTCCTCCTCCTCCTCCTCGCTCAGATTATTCCCCAGCCTCAGCATCATCACGGAGCTCACGCACCCGTCCAACATGAGGTTCATGCAGTTCAGAGCCAAGGACTGCTACTCTCTGGCTCTGTCCAAACTGGAGAAGGTGAGTTCAAGTCACAGACTTTCAGATTCAATCAGATCATTTCCATTTTTTTCTGTCTAAAGATGAAAGGATTGGAGAGATGCTGAAAAATAGGCGTCTTTATCAGTTCTGCAGGGTAGCAGAGAAGGATTTTGTTTCTCACATGTGTTTTTTCCCCCCGCATTTGTTTCCAGATAGAGCGAGATAAGGGCTCCAACCTGGCCTTCATGTTCCGGCTGCCGTTTGCTGCCGGCAGGGTGTTCAGCATCAGCATGCTCGACACGCTGCTTTACCAGGTGGGAGAACAAACCTCAGGGGTTGAACTCTGGTTCATTATTTTTAAAAAAAGGTCAAGGTAATTATACATGTAAGGCTCGGTGTCCTCAAAGAAGTCATGTGTTTCAGCTGGTTAATTAGCTTGTTTTTATCATCAGTATTCTCTCTTTTTAAAGAAAGATGTACTTTAATCCAGGGAATAAGACTGTGGAATGTTCTGGAGGATGATGTTAAAAGTGTCAGAACTATGTACATATTTAAGAGAAAGATAAAAGCTAGTTTTTTGAAGATATAGGGGAAAGTATAATGTGAATCTATATGAATTGTTGTTTGAGTTGATGTTTTTATTTAGTATTTTTAAATTATTTTTTGTTTGAATATATTCTGGGGATAAAAGGGGCAGACATAAGATTTATTCTTCTTCTGCTACCTTTCATTTTATTTTGATTTTTGATTTGTGTAATGTATTTTCTTTGTTTTGTATTGTATATAGTTATTTTGTTTTTAATGAAATGAATAAAGTATCAATCAATCAATCAATCAATCAATCAATCAATCAATCAATCAATCAATC